ATTTCTTTGACTATCTGTCGTCCTGATATTTTGTTAAGCTTCTGATTGGTCTGCCTGTACCACAGACAAAATTTTAACCTACGCTGTATTGTGAGCTGGGTCCTACATGGTTTCCACATGGGACATTTATACATATAAGTATTTTCTATGTTGTGGAAACACAAATAGTTTATATTCTCACTTACATTTAATAAAAAGTCCTACAATAATTTTTAGGCTCCAGATTAATATTACTTTAGTAATGAATTGATTTGACACAATATAATAATAAAAGCTACTTGAGGTAGTTCGTTTATTGTGCCAACCTGGCCAATAAACACATGTGGGACTAATGGAAGGGTAGAGAGATAAATGGCTCAGTGAGCCTCGCCTTTCTTGTCTCTTGCTCTTTGATAATCAGACCAGTGTGAGAGGTTGCCTTGCTTGTTCTGTGCCTTAGTTTGAAAGCTGCACTACCTGTGGGACACCTAACCCATGGACTGTACCACTGTAATTTGAGGTTCCTTCAAGACCTGCTTCACCAGAACACTGGAATTTACATCTCTTGAGCTGGACATTGTCACACCCTGTCATCTGACTGACTGTTGGTGACCTGTCTTCCTGTGTGCTACCTGTGCACGATACTCTGAATTGCTCTACCGACCCTGAAGACCTGAAAGACTGCCAGTGTCTCACAACTGTCTCATGGGAGTGGGTTGCACTGAGCCATTTGTACTGTTTTATAATATAATTAACTGTTTATTTTTATGTTCTATATCTATCTGTATAAATATATATAAAATTAGTAGCGTTCTGGTTTTGTTTCTCTTGAGAACCCTGTCTAACACACTACTAAATATTAATCAAGGAATTCTGGTGGCATAGTGGTTATGGTTATGCATTGGGCTGGTAACCACAAGGTCGGCAGTTCAAAACCACTAGCCCTCTGAAGAAGAAAAATAAGGCATTCTACTCCCGTAAACAGTTACAGTCTTGGAAATCCAAGGGGCATTTCTATCCTGGCCCTACTATGGTGTTGCTAACAGTTGGAATTGACCTGAAGGCAGTGAATCTGGTTTCTAGTTCCATAATAATCAAAAACTTCATGCCATGCTAACTTTCCCTCCTCACCAGCTCAGGTCTAGTCCAGGCTGGAAGTCTTCAGCGAGTGTAGCTTTATTACCACATTTTATGTTTTAATCAGCCTCATACTTACATACTTCTCCAGTAGTCTGATTTCTTACTGTGGAAGTTGAAGAGGAGAGGGGTAGCACTGTTATTACTTAACTGACAGAATTACTTGTTTTGGGATCTTTCTTCTGTCGCTGTCAGATACTTAAAATTATTTCTCATTTGTGTGCATTTATGAGTCCATTGAAATGACCTGATATTAGCAAACTCCTTACTCACTTCCTTGAAGTAATGAGTGATTTTCTGTATAAGGTAAGAACAAAATAAGAAAATCGACCCTCACCATTTAGTCAAGATTGCCTTGCAGTTTTGTGTCAGCACAAAAACAAGTAAACAAAAAGAAATAAAAGTTAAAAATTGGAGGGTGGAGTGGAAAGGAGGGACTAATTACAAGGATCTACATATAAACTCCTCCATGGGGGATGGAAAACAGAAAAGTGGGTGAAGGGAAATGTGAGACAGTGTAAGATATGACAAAATAATAATTTATAAGTTATTAAGGGTTCATGAGGGATGGGGTGGTGGGGAGTGAGGGGGAAAAATGAGGTTCTGATACCAGGGGCTTAAGTGGAGAACAGATGTTTTGAGAATGATGAGGACAATGAATGTACTAATATGCTTTACACAATTGATGTATGTATGGATTGTGATAAGTGTTGTATGAGCCCCTAATAAATTTTTTTTTAAAGTTAAAATTTGGGAAGAAAGGTATATACAGCTCTTTATTCACAGGTAGCAAAGTGTAGAAGAAATACCAAATAATCCATAAAAATCAATTCAAATTTTAAAATAAGTTTAGGAAGAGCACACATAAAAGGTCAATATACAAAAATCAATAGTCTTTCTAAATATGGTCACAAAAGTACTCAATGGAACTTAACAATAGCACTAAATATGTAAAGATACATTTAATAGACATGTAAAAAGACATTACACTGAAAATATATATAAATTTTGAGAAGATTTTTGAAGACCAAAATAAGTACAAGATAATTCTCTGTCATGGATTAGAAGACAGAATGTCAGAAAGAAGACAATGCTTCAACCTTTGCTTTATCACTTAAATGTAATTCTAATTATTATCTCAGCAGGTATTTTCAAAAGTGAAAAGAAAGACTTTTAAAAGTATATAGTTATACAACATCCCTCACTGACCCATGGCCCTACAGGGTTCATCACTGGAGACACAGTGTGGGAATAGCTCCTGATCTGACCCTACCACACCAATGCAAAACACTAAAGGCATGCAACAGAACAGCAAGGGGAGCAGAGCAACAAAGCCCCCAGAGAATACCAAAAATAGACTTTGCAGCCAGGCCATGGCACCCCATCAGATTTCACCGGAAAACACCCCTAAAGGTCAACAAACAGACCTCAGACTATTTACAGGGTTTTCTTTTATTTTGTCAATGGTTTGTTGTTTCATTTTCTTTTGTTGCTTTATTTTTCTCTATCTTGCTTTTGTGCATATTATTATCTCTGCATATCTATCTAGATAACATAGATAGGATAAACGATCTGGAGGAGAAAACAACAGAACCGATGGTTCTGGGTGATATGGAAGAAGGGGAGGCGTGGTAAAGGAAGTAGGTGTTACCAAACCCAGGGACAAGGGAACAACAAGTGATCCAAAATCAGTGGCTAGGAGGGTGTAGGAGGCCTGGTAGGACTTGATCAAGGGCAATGTAACCGAGAGGAATTTACTGAAACCTAAATGAAGGCTGAGCATGATAGTGGGATAAGAGGAAATTAAAAGGAAATAGAGGGAAGAACTAGGAGACAAAGGACATTTATAGAGGTTTAAATACAGGCATGTACATATGTAAATACATTTATATATGATGATGGGGAAATAGATCGATGTGCATATACTTATAGGTTTATTATTAAGGTAGCAGATGAACATTGGGTCTCCACTCAAGTACTCCATCAATGCAGGAACATTTTGTTCTGTTAAACTGGCATTCAATGATGCTCACCTTCCCAACACAATCGCTGACAAAGACAAAGTAGGTGCATAAGCAACTGTGGTGAAGAAAGCTGAAGGTGTCCGGCTATCAAAAGATATAGCATCTGGGGTCTTAATGGCTTGAAGATAAACAAGCAGCCATCTAGCTCAGAAGCAACAAAGCCCACATGGAAGAAGCATGCCAGCCTGTGTGATCATGAGTTTTTGATGGAATCAGATATCAGGCATCAAAGAACAAAAAAAATCATATCATTGTGAATGAGGGGGAGGGCAGAGTGGGACCCAAAGCCCACCTGTAGGCAACTGAACATCCCCTTACAGAAGGGTCACAGGGAGGAGACGACCCAGCCAGGGTGCAGTGTAGCAATGATGAAACATACAACTTTCCTTTAGTTCTTTAATGCTTCCTTCCCTCCACTATCATGATCCCAATTCTACCTCACAAATCCGGCTAGACCAGAGGATGTACACTGGTACAGACAGGAATTGGAAACACAGGGAATCCAGGACAGATGAAACTCTCAGGACCAGTGGTGAGAGTGACGATACTTAGAGGGTGGAGGGAAGGTGGGGTAGAAAGGGAAAACCCCTCACAAAGTTCTCCACATAACCTCCTGATTGGGGGATGGACAACAGAAAAGTGGGTGAAAGGAGACATTGGACAGTGTAAGACATGACAAAGCAATAATAATTTTTGAATTATCAAGGGTTCCAGAGGGATGTGGAGTGGGGAGGGAGGGGAAAAATGAAGAGCTGATCCCAAGGGCGCAAGTAGAAAGAAAATGTTTTGAGAATGATGATGGCAACAAATGTGCAAACGTGCTTGACACAATGGATGTAGGTATGGATTGTGATAAGAGTTGTATAAATCCACAGTAAAATGATTAGAAAAAATTATATAGTTATAAAACAGATTTAGAGTAGCTCAGAAAACCTGCAAAACAGAGCAAAATTGTATTAGGACGTTGAGATTACCATATATAAAATGACTATAAATTTAAAGTAATTATAAAACTTTCTATCATAAACATGATCATCAACATGAACACATAAAAGTAGAAAAAAATCAAAACAGTCATTTGATTTATGATGAAAAACATTCATTTTTCAATTAATTGGTCAGGGATAATTGTATATCTATTTGAATAAAGTGACTAATGCAATCCACCTCATAGTATACACAAATGCTACTTTCTATGGATTATACCTAAATGTGAAAAATAAAACAATAAACCTTCTAGAATAAAATCAGTATTATTTTAATAATTCTTGTCTTATAGTGAGTTTTAAATATTTTCAGCCTGGATTATTCTATAATATAATTATTATATAGCTACTTGTGAATTCATTTTACCTCTACCAGCTAATTTTATTTATTATTATTATTTTTTAATGTTTTATTGGGGGCTCATACAACTTTTATCACGACCCATACATACATCAGTTGGGTAAAGCACATTTGTACCTTCGTTGCCCTCATCGTTCTCAAAACATTTGCTCTGCACTTTAGCCCTTGGCATCAGCTCCTCATCCCCCCCCCATCCCGTTCTCCCCTCCCTCATGGACCCTTGATAATTTATAAATTATTATTTTGTTATATCTTACACTGTCCGATGTCTCCGTTCATCCACTTTTTTGTTGTCCAACCGCCAGGGAGGAAGTAATATGTAGATCTCTGTAATCGGTTCCCCCTTTCCACCCCACCTTCCCTCCACCCTTCCCATATAGCTACTCTTAACACTGGTGTACCAATATATATACTCTGGTCTAGCCAGAGTTGTAAGGTAAAACTGGGATCACAATAGTGGGAGGGGGGGAGGGGAAGAAGCATTTAGGAACTAGATTAAAGTTGTATGTTTCATCATATGACCACACAGAGATGGGTTAGGCAAGTTGAAACAGCTTTTGCTCTACCCTCAGCAGATGGCATTCTGAGCACAGTAGAGAATATATGTGTGTAGGAGAGTCCCATAGAGATGGAACAAAGAAATGCCACCACGGACAGGAAGGCAGAGAGCCCAAGCTCTGGGATGTAGTCATTGGAACAAGAGAGCTTCAGGAGTTGGGGGATATTGCAGAAGAACTGGTGAATGACATTGGGACCACAGAAGTGGTTGGAGAAAGTAGCAGCTGTATGCATGACCCCAGAGATGAGCCCACTGGTCCAGGCAGCTAAGACTCCGTGAACACAGGTGCTGGCATCCATGATGATTTCATAGCGCAGTGGAAATCAGATGGCCACATAGCGGTCATAGGACATCACTGTGAGCCTGGCCATCTCAGTAGAACAAAAGACTGTGAAGACAAAACACTGCAGTATACACTCCCAGAGAGAAATAGTGCCACTGTGCATGAAAGAATGACAAATGGATCTTGGTACAGTCGTCGTAATGTAGCACAGATCCAAAAAAGGACAGGTGCCTCAGGAAGAAATACATAGGTGAGTGGAGACTACAATCTATTGAAGTCGCAGTGATAATGAGCTTATTGCCAATTAAAGCCACCAAGTAGAAGACTAAAAAAAGAGAAGCCTGTAAGAATTCTATCTCAGGGTTGCCAGGAAAAGTCACGAGAAGAAATCCACTCATTGTAGTGAAATTAGTCATACTTTTTCTCTCCTTTCAAGGGAAATGCTGACTGCAAGAGAAGATGGACATGCATAGGAAGAACGTGCTATTTATCAGTTGAATCCACTTGTTCCGTGATGCTAATGTATAAAGTAATAATTACTGGTCTATCATTGTATGTACGAAGCAGCTTTAAATATTAATAGGTATGTTGAACTACTTCAGATGACATTGGCTCATTCTTATGCCGTCATTTTAAGTAAAGGCAAGGAAATGGATGCAAATTTATTAATGGGATATAGCTCACTCTCTCACTACCTTCAAGTCGATGCCAACTTAAGGTGACCGCATAAGAAAGGGTAGAACTGCTCTACTGTTTCTGAGACTGTAACGAACTCTTTACAGGAACAGAAATTCCCATTTTTGTCCTGTGGAGCATGTGGTGTTTTTAAACTGAAGACCTTGTGGAAAGCAGCCTAACCTGCAACCACTATGCCATCAGGACTATAATGAGACATGTTGACCCTAAATCATTTGTAGACACTCAATGTTCCATTCAGTTCGTCCTTATAACTGTTTATTATGTAGTGTCTTGGGTATTATTTTCTAATAATCTTCCCATCAATTTATATAACTCACCACACTCTGTTATTGCAATTTTATAATTCAGTTTCATGTATGAGAAATTAATTCTTAATTCATGTATATCTCTAAATTTACTTAAAAAGGATCACATTATATATTAATAATATACCAAAAATCACTACCCTTAACCTATTATATCCTACAAAGCAAGCTGAAACATTGTAAGTTTCTCTCAGAAAAGTGACAGGCCATATATTTTCTAGTACATTGTAGTATATTCTAATAAATAGTCTATAGTGTATTTTAGCAAAAATAAGCGGACTAATAAGCATATCAATCGATGTTTATCATAATTGGATTAAATAAAATTTAAAGCAAAAATGCAATATTATTTGAATGGGCCAAATTTGTAGAGATTCAAAAATAGAATACTCAGCGAGATATTGAATATGAGGCAAGATGAACTAGAACATGCAGCCACTGTGGTTATATGTGTGCATATTTTTAAAACACAGCTTGTATTTAAACCAGTGAAGTTTTATCTACATATTTTTTAAGCTACATATTTTAACGAAAGCATGTGAGTAAAAAGGGTGAAGAAAATACTTGTTTAGAACAATTACCATAGAGCAAAGAAGGATGATCAATAAAAGTGTTTCCAATTTGCTTTCCACTGTACACACATATACATACCCACACACATATATACACACACTCACAGAATTCCCAAACAAAAACAAACAAAATCAAGAATCAAAACCCCCAAGCACCCTCACACTGCAGTGATGCTTTGCAGTTGGCCAAAATATTAGATCCTGGGAGGAAGTGCAAAATGCAAATTAAACGACCAAAAATGCTGAACAAGCAGCATCATTAATATCCAAAATATTTATATTACTGAACTAGGAACAGGTGATGTTCTCCCTGGCTGTAAAACTTGTGAACCACATAGCTGAGCTGTGAAATCTAGTCCATGCCAACTTCCAAAGAGCAGGAAGGATTTTAGTTAGCCTCATTCTTCAATGCCCCATCAAAATTTTCTACAAGATCTGGAACATCATCATCTTCCTCATCAATGTCTTCGGTCTTTGGGGTTTTGTTATCCAACACTTGCCTTGGGAAGTGTTCAGCTCATTTCCTTGGACTTGTAAAGCTGTCAGCAACAAGCTGACTTAATATTTCAGGAACCATTTCTGTGGATGGTTTGGCTTCTGCATGACCAGTAATAACACGTGTTAGCAGAGAGGGGAGCTTGTACCTTGAGATAGTTGAAATGAAATGAATGGTGTTCCATCCCCTTTAATCATGTTTATCTCCTCAATACCAGATATATTATTCACAGACAATTTTAAAAGAGATCTCTGAAGCTTTTTGTCATCAACTGTACCTGTTCTATGTATCACCTTCATACTTCTGTGATCTGTACCTTTGTCCCCTATCTGGACCTGAGCCTGAAGTTTGCCTAACTTTTCTTGATTCATGCTGATGGTAAATCTGAAGCAGGGAGCGTCCCTCAAACACAAGCATGCAGCAAGAGCAAGAGGGCTGCCTTATTGGAGACAGAGAAGACCGAAATGGAGCATTAAAAAAAATCACTTTATTGCGGGCACTTAAAAAACATATTTTATTGGGGGCTCATACAACTCTTATCACAATCCATACATGCATCAATTGCGTTAAGCACATTTGTACATCTGTTGCCATCATCATTTTCAAGACATTTTCTTTCTACTTGAGCCCTTGGTATCAGCTCCTCATCCGCCCGCCCCCCATCCCCCATCCTCCCTCACTCATTAACCCTTGATAATTTATAAATTATTACTTTTTTATGTCTTACCCCGACCACTGTCACTCTTTATCCATTTTTCTGTTGCCTGTGTTATACGTATGTCATGGGCCATTTTAAATGATTACTTTATGAAAAATGTTTTCTGACATTGCAATATCTTGATATCTCATTTTCCTCCCCCTATTTTCTATCATGTTTAAGCAATCTATCTGTGATATCTAGTGTATAAAGGACCTCACATATCTTGTAAATCTCTCTTAAGGTCAATGAACCATAAAAATAGAAGAAATATTAAATGATGCCATCCCATGGTTCATTCATTCAACATGTGGTCTTTGATCACCACACAAAGAAAAATATTGCTGGGGAGATGAGATTTGGACTCCACACAAGGTTTCCATAATGTAAACAGTTTACAACTTTCTTGTGTGGATTCCTAATTTTCATTTAAATATTTTACATCTTCTGCTAACTTTTAAATTTCAGTTTTTATGAATCAAATGATAATGGGCTTTATCCTATGTGCTAAAGCGCTGTGATTTATTGTCTTTCCATGATTCAGAAAAGTTCCCTTCTGTAGTCCAAAATTATTCACCAGAGCACATCCAGGAACCTCCCCACCCTAAACTTAGGCAGACCTTGTCAATGTGAGGAGCCTCTAAGCAGAAGTCTCCGCGATGTCTGTCAGTCAGGCATGCTCTGTAAAACCTGGTCTGTGGAGAGAAGAAAATAAGGCCCTATTAATCTTCCTTTGGCCACAGGAGGTGAGGCGATGGTGTTCCTCTGGCACGAGCAGAGAACTCGAATTACATGGAGTTTCCTATGCAATGTATTTCTGTAGAGCTGAGATAATGATCACGTCTCATTACTGGCAATTTTAGCTTATTGGTGTTCACCAGCAAAATTATTGAGAAGTATTATAAATTGTCATTTAGATTTTGGAACTCCCAACAAATAATGGTAATCTCTATAGGTCAATATGTTCACTGCAAAGTAAATACTTTGGGGTCAAAATGAAGAATTACATGGAGTTTCCTGTGCAATCTATTTCTGTTGAGATTAACTAGTGATCATGTCTCATTAAAGATGTGCTTCACAGACTTTCAAGCAAAAAAAAAAAGTTTCTAGGACCAGAAGTGTGTCTATAATATGGAGTCTATCAAATGCACTGAAGTTGTGCCCATGTCCAAACATGGGACATCTATCATTAAAAGTTCTTCACTGCAAAATCAATTAAAAATATAAAGCAGATCTGGCTAGACCAGATGATACACAGTGGTACAGATGGGAATTGGAAACGCAGGGAATCTAGGACAGAGGAACCACTCAGGACCAGGGGTGACAGTGGCGATACCAGGAGGGAAGGGGGGTATAGAAAGGGGGAATTGATCACAGGGAGCTACATACAACCTTCCTCTAGTTCTTAAACGCTTCCTCCCCCCAACTACCAGGACCCCA